TCTCTCTATGTGAACACCCTGTGTCTGTCTCCGTATCTCTCAACCTGTCTCAACGTATCTCAACGTGTCTCAACCGCAGGTATTCTCTCTGTCAGTATAAGTATACTTTGGACGAGTCCATCTTCTGTAAAAAGGGGAGAGCCCCACAACACCTTCCCGTTCTGGATTATGGATATGATGATAAAAGAGTCGAAATATCCCATAATTCAGGTGTATCACTGAGAATAAAAAAGAAAAGATTGTAGCATACCACCTGTAATATAGTGTTTATTATATATTTTACCATGTAAAAAAAAAAATAAATAAATAATAAAAACAGAAAAAGCCAAAGACGCCAAATCAATTCTCTGGCGGGTGAGGCCTGCATGAAAAAAAAAAAACTGATTTCAGAAATTTGGCACCCAAAACGTCAATCTGGCAATCCTACAGGAGAGTACTGGGCGCTTTTCTACCAAACTTTTATGGACGAATTGCAGCTGCTGGAAACATAACTTGTAGCAAAATGAGTCAAGCTGAGGTCTTATTAAATTGAAAAGAAGTAGGACCTGTCTCACAACTCGATACGAAACATTTACTTTCGATCGATGGTTATCAGTAATTGGAGTCCATTTCAAAGTACAAGCAAGAGAGGCTCAGACTGAGAGAAAGTGACGATAGGAAGATTAATTACTTTTTCAGACGAAGATGACAAGACAAAGAAAACTGTTTCCTATTATACTGATTATCCCGCGCAAAGGCGTAGAGAAGGAACGAAGTGGGCCTCACAGAAGAACATAGATGACGGCCCATGAACTGCACACTTCCTCCCTCACTTACGCCTCCACCCTATTTTGCTCGCTTATAGTAGTAAGTTACTACCTAAAAATAAAGTCTGCTTTACTGCTAGAAATTGTTTTGTTCTTCACTCGTGGGTGACGATCTGGCCAAAAGGTAATTTTTAAGCTACAAGCGTTTAGCTGCAAGAAACTGCACCCTGTCAACAGACTTGGTGTTTGGCCTGAACTGCAACGCAACAAAATGTGGATTTATTGTTCCATTGCTTTGTAAGAACTCTAAATTATTAATACTCCGACGAACACGACACACATGCAACATTACCTTTCTTCCATGGAGCTCAGATTTTAGAGTGTGTTGTGGATATTTATCATTATCAGTTGCCTTCCTTTTGCATTGAACATTGTCATATGTAACCCATTTTTCCCCTTCTTATGATATATTTAAGGAACGGCTTATTTGTCTGTTGCGAAAGGAGAATTGTTGCTATGGATAAAAGATCTGCTTTATCTATTTCGCTAAGAATGTGTGGAATACAAACACCCAGATTGCTAACGTTCCCTATCCTTTCTAAACGATAGCATTGTGCTAGCTTGCGATATATTTAATAGATTTGTTAATTCCTGGTTCGACCTGGGTATGACGATAAACTACATCCGGCAGCAAGGCCCCAAATCGGGAAATTGGAAGTATTGAGTAGCGTGGAGCCACCTCTTAATTGTTGTTATTCCCAAGTCCACCCTGACACGGGGTGGGCCTATAATACCATCTATTCATTTTCCTATAATACTCTCTATTCATTTTCCTATAATACTATCTATTCATTTTCCTATAATACTCTCTATTCATTTTCCTATAATACTCTCTATTCATTTTCCTATAATACCATCTATTCATTTTCCTATAATACCATCTATTCATTTTCCTATAATACTCTCTATTCATTTTCCTATAATACTCTCTATTCATTTTCCTATAATACCATCTATTCATTTTCCTATAATACTCTCTATTCATTTTCCTATAATACCATCTATTCATTTTCCTATAATACTCTCTATTCATTTTCCTATAATACTCTCTATTCATTTTCCTATAATACCAACTATTCATTTTCCTATAATACTCTCTATTCATTTTCCTATAATACCATCTATTCATTTTCCTATAATACTCTCTATTCATTTTCCTATAATACTCTCTATTCATTTTCCTATAATACCATCTATTCATTTTCCTATAATACTCTCTATTCATTTTCCTATAATACACTCTATTCATTTTCCTATAATACTCTCTATTCATTTTCCTATAATAGCATCTATTCATTTTCCTATAATACTATCTATTCATTTTCCTATAATACTCTCTATTCATTTTCCTATAATACCATCTATTCATTTTCCTATAATACTCTCTATTCATTTTCCTATAATACCATCTATTCATTTTCCTATAATACTCTCTATTCATTTTCCTATAATACCATCTATTCATTTTCCTATAATACCATCTGTTCATTTTCCTATAATACTCTCTATTCATTTTCCTATAATACTCTCTATTCAATTTCCTATAATACTCTCTATTCATTTTCCTATAATACCATCTATTCATTTTCCTATAATACTCTCTATTCATTTTCCTATAATACCATCTATTCATTTTCCTATAATACTCTCTATTCATTTTCCTATAATATACATAATTCTCCTAATATCTATCAATCTATCTCTGTTTATATATATATCTGTCTTCAGATACCGATGTCGGAGTTACAAATATGGATTAAATTCGTCAGAAGGATTTTGACAAAAAAATGTAAGAACATTTTTATAAATTTAACACGCTTCCCTCTTTAGCTTCACCAAAAGGTTTTGGAAGTGAAATAAGAAAATAAATTTCAATCTTTAAATTCTATATATTTTTATAGCAAAAAATGTGTTAATCTGATTGAATATTTTATTGCAGGGCCCCCAAAATAAACAAGATATAGGTCAGCTTTGAAAAATGGGGTGCTGTTAAACCCGTCTTTCATTTGTAACATTGATTTCAACAAGAATCTAATGATTTTCTTAGCAGAAAAAAAAAACAGGTATAAAAAGCAAATATCCAGAACTGATCACCTAGAAATAAATGATTAAATATGTGAAAATTTTGATTAACTCCAAACAATCGAAAAATAATTGTAATTATGACGAAGTTAGAGCAGTCACATATTGTCCGATCTCCCTGATATTTACCTTGAGCGTCTTGACAAAATCCAAAGAAGAATCATCAATATTATTGGACCTGATCTGGCGAATCGGTTACTGTCACTTTCCCACTACTGTAAGGTTGCTTCTCTGTGTCTTTTCTACAAATAATTTCATGGCAGTTGTTCGGATGAGATTTTCGCTATGGTACCTAGACTTCTTTTAATTTAAGCGCAGTATTAGACTGGTGTCAAGATCAAGTTGAGCTGGGCTAGATGCAACCGTAAATTCTATTCTAACAGTATCTTTTTCTCGGCTTTCTCACTTTTGTAACTGCCTTCCGACTCCACGCCTACCAGCCAACTTTAATCTGCAAAAATTCAAATATAATGTCAATCGCTATCTACTGTCCTCCTGATTATTATTTTCTCTTCCCGCTCGTTATTAATGTTTCTGTTCCTAATTCTTCCTGTCACCCTTTGTGCCTTAGTTGCTTTAGTGCCTTGCTTGGGGTGATACCGATTAAAAGGGAAAAGTTCTGAAATTCTGTGGCTCTCTACTTTCAGACTTGATATAGCACTTATCATTTGGAAAATGTTCCAAGAAATGCCATATGTAAGATTGCGGGCCAACTGTGAAAGTGACTGACTTTCACAGAGTAATAGAAAGAAGTATGTGTTGTTTACAATAGGTATTTTTCTGAGCATCTACATCGCTACCGAAGGCTTAAAGTGGGTTCAACGACAATACCGTCGGGAAATTGCCCAAGCCCCCTCGGCACGACTTAGGGACGCTTCAGGAAACAAACCAGCCGTCTCTCAAAGGAGAGATACTGACTTTTCTCCACTACATAAACATTCGCCCACAGCAATTAAGAAAAAGGACTTTTTTCCCAAATGCAGCCAAAACAGAAATTGCATTTATAAAAAGAATGGGAAAAGATGAAGAGTGGAGAAATGTCATTAAAATGTTTCTTTACCGTTTCACCTTCCCCCCTCCACCAGCAAAGTGACAATGCTACTAGAACGTAGGGGGTCACAGGGGGTGAAAATGAATGACATGATTGAGAATGGGGAGGATAGAGAAAAGGGTAAAAAAAAGAACAGGATCCAAGAAGACAGAAGATGGCGATTGACATTGCATTTTAATTTTTTTGAATATTGTAGTTATCAGGGCAGCAAGAAAACGGAAGACAGTTACACAGTTGGGAAATGCGAGAAAACAAACTGTAGAAGTGGCGGTAGAATCTAGGTAGTTTAGCAGTGAAACCGTGAGACCTAGTTGCCAATCTAGTAACACACTTAAATTCATGTATCGAGACACCAGGAAAAAAACGATCGTCCGAGGAGTTACCATGAAAATAATTGTAGAACAGACAGAAGGAAACCATGTCACGTTGTGAGAACGTGATTGGTAACGAGATGCCATCTCAGAGTCGATTAAATTATTATATTATTTATTTAAATTATTATTTCAATTATTAAATTATTGCAGACCGTTCTCTAGATTTTGTCAAGGATCTCTAGATGCACAGTAGTGGCACCAGACCAGATATGGCAACAGTATTCGATACACAAACGAACGGCACATTTATAAATGTGTAAAATGGATTCTGATAAGAAAACAGATTTGGGGCATGTCACAATGAAACAATCTTCCTTGCAGCAGACGTAACAACTGGTAGACAGACGAGAAGATAAAGATTTAAAAAGAAAATAAAGACTTTTCAGCCACAGAAATATGAAAAAGAAGAAAAAAGGTTAACATTGAAAACTAGACTCTGTAAAACACTTCAAAAGACATTATTAATGATACAACGACGAGACTTTGTGTTTAACATTAAAGGCCGAAAAAAAACTAAATAGAGAAACATGATGGTTATAAAATCGCCTCAGAAAATACGTAATAAAAATATATGGCAAAACGAACACAAAACCTCTGTAATTCTATATAACTAAAAGAATATATAAACTACCATATTTTAAGATTACCAGCAGAATTTCTAGCAAGAAAAGCGAATAGATATTATTTTCAAAGAAAGGACAGGCCAAGAAAAATGCGAATAAAAAGAGAAACACAATTGCAACAAACATCAACAAAGACACCATGTTGACCGAACTCTAAATACCCAGCATTCTCACTGAGAACATTCACAGCACAAGAGAATATACAGCGGGAAAACCAATACGATATTATTTTGAAGAAAGAAAAAGCAAGAAATACGTGGGTAAAAAGAGACACACTACTGCAACATCCATCAACAGAGATAAGACGAGGACAAAACTCAAATACCCAATACTCCCACTTGCAACACAATTCAGATAAAAAAAAAACAACATCTGCACAAAAAGGAAATTCTAGACAAATATTGAAACAAGTCGTTGATGCTGCTTATTGCTGATAATCACTCTTAAAAGCCCAAAGATTAAAAGGAGAACAAGCAAATAAGAAGATAATTACGTTCAAATCGAAAAAAAGTAACCAAATATTACATTACCGTAAAGTGGCAATATCGAAAATCAAATCAATTAACAAAATACGAGATAACCGGTTTGTCTTGCCCCTCATCAGAGCTCAATTAAGAATTAAAAATGTGCACAGTGGCTAAAATCAACAACATCAGATACCGGATGTTATATAATAAATATACAAGTATCAAATTCTAATTATACTTAAGCCTAAAAGCTAATCCTTCTGATTTCAGAGGGGTGACTGGTAGGACCTAATATAAGTTGCATCTAAACATTTTAGTTTTGGATTTGTTTTTTGTTTTCCCAATGATGTTCACCCTGTACAAGGAGTCACTCGATGTACAGGGTTACAAATTAAGAGGCACAGTTTATGCGGATATGTGGGGAAGATAACGGTTAACTCTAGACTTGATGTGATCGGGAAAACATCCACTTGGACCGGTTCCACAAAGAAGCTGTACGTTGGACGAAGCTGCTTGAGTGGAACTTACATCTCGCCATTGGAATACGAAGGAAATGAGGTTGGTTCGCTACAATGTGCGTAGCATGCCGGGTCTTAGCCGTGAAGGTTACAAATGGTGGAACTAAGGAATGTAGCTCGTCTGAGCACTTTCCATTGTAATAACGATATAGTAGTGAGAGGCTTGCGACGTTTCGTTTGTGAGAAAAGGGGTTGTAGGGTGGAAAATAATTTGTCAGCCACAAAGACGCGGAAACCTTATGAGTGAAATTGGAAGTTCAGAAAAATCTAAACTATCAGCTTCATACAACCGTTTTCTCGGATTGATGTTTAAAAAATGTATTCAAATAAATGAACCCTGTGAGTCTTGAAGGGGACTTTCCCCCGTCGGAACTCGTAGACTAGTACTACACAATCAAGAACTTTTAACAGCAGCAACAACTAAAACGTTAGTGGAGCTCGAGGGATGTCTTTGTACCATTTCTTTGATCAACTTTGATGTCTTCTCTCCCATAGCAGTTCTCCATACAATAGGCATCTAGGAATATGATGTTGCTCCATTCAAATGATACGGACTTGTGACATCATCTCTAATGGGTTTGGAAACTGTCTTTTTTATTGCTACAGTTTTGTTAACAACATTATCAAGAGTACTTTTCTTAATTTGTGGCTTAAATCAGTTAAGGCTTCTTCACTGAATTAAGAGATCTTCAGTATAGAATAAGGCTCCAACTGCAACAGATATAATTATATAGGTATTTATAGTTAGGATAAGAATGATACTGAACAAAAAAAATCAGCATCCTTTACCAAGTATTCCAAGAAATAGACAAACCTTTCCAAAACAGAAACAATTATCTTGAACTGGGATAAAAACAATGACAACATTTATCCTGAATCCATCATAAAATTTCAGAATGTGGGCTTAGTAAATACTAAACACTTCAAATACCTTGGTGTATGGATCAGTTAAAACAAATTTAATATAGGTGATACATTTCATCCGACACCATAATATGCTATTAAACCAAAATATTAACTTAATTTGAGTCATGTCCTTAATTAGCCTCATCAGATCTAGACTCTCATTTGGATGTCATTCATGGTGTCCAACTTGTTCAGAAATCTCAGCTATATACAACCATTTTCTCAAATCAATAATTAAAAATGTATTCAAGTGAATGGACCCTGTAGGTCTTGGAGAGGACTGTCCTTTGTCAGATGTTGAACACTAGTACTACAGAATCACAAACAAAGAACTTTACTAAACAGAAATCACATCATTTAAAGAGTGTGTTGCTGTCATGTGAAGGTTAGTTTTGATTGAGTCTTTGTACCATTTCTTTGGTCAACTTTGATGTCTTCTCTCCCATAGCAGTTCTCCATACAATAGGCATCTAGGAATATGATGTTGCTCCATTCAAATGATACCGACTTGTGACACCGTCTCTAATGGGTTTGGAAACTGTCTTTTTTATTGCTACAGTTTTGTTAACAACATTATCAAGAGTCGTTCTTCTAATTTGTGTCTTAAATCAGTTAGTTTCTTCAGTGTAACAGAAATCACATCACTAAGAAATCTGAAACATACCACTAAATAAAAAAAAAAACAAAAAGTAAAGGAGGTAAGAAAATTGAACATAGTATAGACCACACAAAACCAAAACATCAAACTCGAGTCATGTGATTTAATAGCCTTGTCAGAACTTGAGTCTCATGTGGATGTCATGCATAGCAGCAAACCCGTTCAGAATTGTCTAAACTCTCAGCTACATACAATATATATATATATATATATATATATATATATATATATATATATATATATATTATTTTGTTACATCAATTTACTTGAAGAATGGTGCTGAAGACAGGCATATTTTTTAAAAAAATAATCTACAGACCACAGCCACAAGATCACATCTAATACATCGAAATAAACTTTGAAAACGTAAATTTATATTTTGTAGATTTGCAAGCCATGAAGATTGCGTTCAAGCAAGAAATTGACTGTCGCCATTCAGTGTTCACCTCAGTATCCACTTTTATATCATAACCAAATGCACCCTAATTATAAGCCGGATGAAAAAGCAATTAAAAACATAATTCACTCGTGCATATCACTCAATGAACCTAACAAATAGCTAAGATTTATCATCTACTGCCATAAGTTTTAACATCTAAATTAATTATTACCAACAACACCGGGCCTCATAAATACCGTAATGTGAAAGTAATGTTGTCCATGAATTATCATTCCCTTCCTAGGAGATTGCACCTCCAACACAAATAATCAAAAAGCAACATTAAATACTTACATTGGACACATGCACCACAAACTCTCGTAGACTGACCTGTCGAAAATTAGTGAAATCTGTGCACTAGCAAATCATGAATGATCAAAGTACAACTTTCAACATAAGACAAATACAAGTAGATAACACCAAAATACACCACAGTACCCAATACAAGGAAAGACCCAAATCTCTACGAGCTATCATTGTATAAAATAAACAGACCATATTATATAAAATATTATTCATCACAGAAGTGTATATGATATAATTAATGTGCAAACATATTTTATCAATATTATAATAATAAAAAATAAAATAAAACTAAAAAGTAAAAACTTAAAATTAAATTCATTCATCTTGTGCGGCCTTATTCCCAATGACCGTTACATATGACGTCACGTTAAACTATTTCAAACGTTTTTGTGATGTCAACGAACACTCGTTGCCACTTTTGTAATGTCAACGAATACTCGTTGCAACTTCCGTAATGCTCGTCGTAGTAGAGACTTTGTAATCGCAGATACAACTATAGTAACGCCGTTGAACAATACTGGTGACAGACGCCTTCGAATATCATTCACACTAATAGTGCTTGCTCGATAATATTCGCTCGAAAAGTAACCACAGAATAACGACACTTTATTCCTATATAACAAATGTCCTGCTTCCCAAAGAATACCAGGATAAAAACCAAGAAATTCGAACTACCATACAAACACCACATCGTTTCTTGACAGTGACTGCGAAAGTCGAATATACTGGAACAAAAATAGCAAAATATGGACTTTAGACATTTTGTCCACTACTTCGGGCACAATACTCAACACCTTATTCGAAAATTGGAAAAATTCAATAAAGAATTAAGCCTTTGTCGTCTGTTTTTAATAAAACCTGTTTGTAGATAGATAGATAGATAGATAGATAGATAGATAGATAGATAGATAGATAGATAGAAATCTGCTGGGTATGAAATATATCGAAACAGATTGATTAATACATAAACTGAATACAAGCATCTAGAGGCAATCATAGTTAGATATATAGATATAAACAGAATATAAAATATAAATATAGATATATAAATACGAGTAGCTAGCTTGCTTGCTTGTGAGATAGATAGATAGATAGATAGATACAAAAGACTGAGATAGATAGATAGATAGATAGATAGATAGATAGATAGATAGATATGAACAGACTGAGATAGATTTACTATCTCTTGTCAACTGGTGATATATTCAGTTCTGTTATTTATATTCGTGGATGCGAAGGGTTTTACTTCGGCAAATTAACTCAAAGTCAAGCCCCACCCCGCTACCTGTTCGCGCTAAGAGTTTGGAGTAATTTTACCAATTACGTTCCAACATTCATGTACTGAGGTCATGATAGTAGCAGTAGAAAACGGTTACCTGCCGAGCAATGAGTACATTCCTAGAGATAAACACCTGCAATGTTTAGATAGATACAGTCTGCTCCGCGGAGGAACAGAGGCGTTAGAAATACAATGGCGCGGAGTGATTTGAGGATAAAGAGATATTAATAATATATGCTTTTTGAGTGAAATAGTTGCGCACATCTCATCGGCAGAAGCAGTGTTTGAAAACGAAAATGATATTTTCAATGCAGTATTTTAAGAGCAGATAGTTAATTTTTTCCACTGAGTGTCATCAGAATACCATTTTTAACTTCATCTTGGCACCGAATAAATTCAGACAAGCAACTTTGTATCTGTCTATATTTCTGAGATGAGGTATTATGTACACTATTTACATTATTCGGACTATTGTCCTCATCTTTGTCGCCATATTTATTACAACGTTTCGGCCTTTCAGTATCTGTCTACATTTCTGAGATGAGGTATTATGTACATTATTTACATTATTCGGACATCTTTGTCACCATGTTTATTACAACATTTCTGAGATGAGGTATTATGTACATTATCTAAATTATACGGACTATTGTCATATTTATTACAACGGCCTCAGGTGGTTGGAATGTCGAACTTAACCCTTTATTTCGCTCACTGTTTAATGGATGTCAGTTATCAGTTATCTCCTGCTAATTTTCCTCTGAAAGTTCCCCACTGCCTTAACCGGGTATTGGGTCCTGTCACTGGATCTAACCAATACCTTATTCACTGTGCCATGTGTCCTTGAGGACATCTGTGTATGAAATCCTGAGTATTATAAACCTAATGTCTTCAGCAACCATTTTTACCAGTGCTTATATTGCAATTTTTTTTTTTTTTGGTGTTATCATTTCGTGTTTTTACCAGAACTCATATTGTAACTTTTGTTGTTATTATCGCTTTTCTCTGGCACTCCTTATTACTGGTTCCCATATTGTATTCATTTCTATGCTTAGTCGGCGCAGGAGATTTTTGTGGCCTAACTGATTCCTTAAGTTTACGAATTTTCAAATGGTGTTCTTTGTCTATGATCTCAACCTGATCCCACAGAGGGCGGTGATCTCCCTTTTCTCTCCATATGTGTTCAGACATGCAAGATTTTCCAGAGGGAAATTAACAGGTGATAACTGATAACTGACATCCATTAAACATGGCACGTGGAACTAGAACAGTTTACCCCAGTGAACGAAATGAAGAATTAAGTTTCGACATTCCAACCACCTGAAGAAGACCGGAGCGTACAACGGCCGAAACGTTGTAATAAATATGCAACTTTGTATATCAGACTAATAGGGGTTATATGCCTATATTTCTGAAATGAGTTATTCTAATTATTTACATTGTTGGGACGTTTTGGCCGTTGTAGGACCGAAGCAGCTGCTTTCTATCTCCCCAAAAAGGAGTGCCAGGAATGCTTCCATCAATAGAAATTACTTTGAATAAAGTGGCTTCAGAAAGGGACAACCTCGAAGAAGATTAAATGTCTCGTTGATATGTATTGCAGTTTTCTTTTTAAAGTACCAGTATGTTACACGGTACGAAATACAAAGAAAAAAAAACACCAGTTACATTTCTACGTCGAGAAAAAGAAACAGCTGAAGATATAGGACCTCATTTATTTTTAATCCTTTGACTCCTAAACAAGGTGTTAATGCCAGGGAGTTACTGAGACTGTAAGAGGGTGATAAGACTTAGATGAAGGAACAGGAAATTCAATTCTAAACAGAAAGCAAGGGATGAATCTCTGCTCCTTTTCAAAATACGGGGAAGGAGTTTGAAGTGGGCGATAGGCGAACTTATCTATACCTATTTAGCTTTAAATTTGAGGTGTATATGTATATATATATTCATCAAGAAGATAATACTGAATTGTTATGTAATATCAGTGCTTCTATTAGACAGTGAATGCTCGACAAACCAATCACAAATGAAGAAAAGACTTGAACCAACGAAAATGTGGTTCTACAGAAGGATACTGAGAATACAATGGACTGAAAATGTGAGCAATTACGAAGTTTTACAGAAAATGGAACCGAAAAGGACACTTCCGGTGGAAATGCCGTTTCAAAATTTCTGGCGGGGCGAATTCTAACAGACTGTGCCCAACTGACCCTACTATACTGTGCAGTCGACAAAATCAAAAACAAACAACGCGCATGCGCCAAATTAAATATATAAAATGACGACAATTTACCCATTGCATCCTGTATATTAACAGCTATAAAAACAAAATAAAAAAAAAAACAGAAGTGGTAGGAATGTTATGATGTACATTTAAACGTATCGGACGCCAAAAATTTAACATTTATAATTTAAATTTAAGTATCCCTGCATTTTCAGTATTTCTCTTGAAGATTGAAGAAAGCAATTAAAAAACAGAACTTTTTGAAGGATGGTCATTACCGTGAACTTTTAAAGTTGGGAAAACATCAAAAAATTGATATTTAAAGCTAAATAACACACACACACACACACACACACACACACACACACATATATATATATATATATATATATATATATATATATATATATATATATATATATATATAAATTAGTGTATTAAGGCAGTAACTTCTCTTTTAGGCATGTCTGATTGAATAAATTAAGGACATTATATTCGCTAATTTTTAATAAAATCCGTTCATACTCACGAATAACTTTCCGTGTATTGATGTTAAAGGATGAGAGAAATGTGCTATAACTGTTTGAATTATATTTTCATTACCCAAGTACTTTCAATTTTCTTCCAAGATCATCTTCAGGGGTGCAAATGATACAAAACTATATGTTGTTTATTAATATAAGTATTTATACAAAGTTGTGCATTGTTATCCATTACCATAATTTTTTCATTATGCTTTTAAATGCAAAACGGTTGACAATGTGCTGAGCGTTCATTAGAACATGAAAAAATTATCAACATGGAATTTTTTTTCTCTATATATATATATATATATATATATATATATATATATATATATATATATATATATGTATTAGCAGTATTACTAGTAATAGTAGTAGTAATCTTATAAGTATGTCGGTGTCTTGATTTGCAAATAATCAAACAAATACCAAAGTGAAAAAAATCATTAAAAAAAACAACCAAGAACATGTACGTTAGCCGAAAATAATCGTCTAGCATGAATGTCCAAAGCCTCCCCCACCAAAAAAAAACCGGTACGAGTACGCAAAAAACGTGGTTATGTTTTTTGTTTATTGACTATAAGTATTCCGTTCTTTTTTTACGTTTTAGCCAGCTTTCCCTGACGATCCGCTAAGGTGAAACCGTGGTAGGTTGTCAGGCTCTCTAGGTTTAACTATATATATATATATATATATATATATATATATATATATATATATATATATATTGTTTGATATTTGCTATATTAAAAAAGTGAAGAATGGTCAATAGTGGAGAATTTAGATAGATAGATAGATAGATAGATAGATAGATAGATAGATAGATAATGAACAGATTTAGATAGATATAGACAGTGCGGACATTGGAAGAATTAAAACTCAGTTGCAGTGCTGATTCCAATATCCATATGAATCAACCAATGTCTACCTACAGATAAATCAAAAAAGAGAGAGAGAAAGAGAAAGAAAGAGAAAGAGATACATATATACATATATATATATATCCTGGCCGTTCAAGCTAAAGGCTCCGATTACCTTTTGATCAAGACACATAGAGCCTTGTCTACGATGAGAAACCCCGGTTCTGTAAGCAATGTCAGAGGTCATATTATTTTGAATATGAATCAAGCACTGACAAACCGCCTGTATTTTACCAGCAGTCTACTTGAGTGGTCTGCGACACAAACTCATTGGAGCAAGGATGTTCGACACTGAGAGACCGCCGCACAATTTTGTGAAAGCTATGAATTTCTATGAACATTCGTGCGTGTACTATTGGGTCTTTCGTGGTTGAGAAGAACCTCTTCGCTCGCCTCGGCCTAGCTGATAGTTGTCCTCACATCCTTTGCACAAAGCGCTTCTGGGGATCGATATTTTGTATTCTTATATCACTATGTATTATTTAACATACTTTACGTATATTTCTCCCTAGGTAGAAAACAAACAACTTTTATACTGACAGAGAATTTGATATGGGAATACACAAAAATGTTTTCGTTACTCGCTACAGATTCACTGTAGCAAATAACAAAAAGCACATCATTTGAGGACTTTCAAAAGCAGCAACAACTAAAACGGATAGTACATGTAAACTTGAAGAGAAAATAATGACAAATAATATGTTGACGTTCCACATTACTTCAAATAAAAGTTTAGAAAGGAAATCCCTATCAATGCTGGAAAGAGTGATAAGAGCTAGTAGATTTGAGAAATCTATTTTCCTGAAAACTTGTTTTAAGAGAAAGGTTTTATAAATTTCAATCCACTATAGTACCAGCTGCTCGGTTAATGAATGCAAAATAAGGACACCATCTAGTATTACTGTTTTAATATAGAGAAGGTTACTGAATAGAATAATAAAACGAAGGTTGGTAACAAAAGTTAATACTTCGGACAAGAACAACGCATATGAGATTCGCCAGCGGCGCGTAAAAGAAGTAGTCAACTGCTAGAAATGAGTCACGTGAATTCCACAATGAATTTCCAACTCTAGGATATCTACCAACCGCCCCACGCGGTCAGATGTGGCACAAGACCGAATTTAATGTGGGGTATTCGAGCCCGTAGTTTCGGCCAAAAGTTCCCCGTAGACCCCGTATAAAACGGGGTCGGGTAGCTGTTTCCCCAGATGAGACTCTGCCGTTCGACATAGCCTCGTTTGGAGAACCTCTCTGCCTGGAGGCAGCGAGTTTGACCAGCACAGCTGGAGACGAATCTCCAATTCTAGCCCACGTAGAGTATTCACTGTATTTATGGGAATGGGAGCATACCATTATCGTCCGTAGGTATGCAACAACAACTACCATTAGCATGCTGTTGTCATAGGTATTCATAGTTGTTTTTAAAAAAATGATCATGGACAAAACTAATCAACTTTCTTTAACAAGTGTTCCTAGAATTCTGATTTCAGACAAACATTTCCAAAGCAGAAAGCATGTTCTGGAACTAGAAAGAATTGTGAGAGCACGTACCTGAATTCATCATAAAAATTTAAAATATATTCAGAAACTTTGTACAGGAGATAAGGGATATAAAAATATAAGTGATATAAAGATATGAGGATATAAGGAGATAAGCGATATTAAGATATAAGGATATAATGAGATAAGGGATATAAAGATATAAGGATATAAGGAGATAAGAGATATAAGAATATAAGGAGATAAGAAATATAAGGAGATAAAGAGATAAGGGATATAAGGATATAAGGAGATAAGAGATATAAAGATATAAGGATATAAGGAAATAAGGGATATAAAGATATAAGGAGATAAGGAGATAAGAGATATAAAGATATAAGGAGATAAGGGATATAAAGATATCAGGATATAAGGAGATAAGAGATATAAGGAGATAAGAGATATAAGGAGATAAGGAGATAAGGGATATAAAGATATAAGGATATAAGGAGATAAGAGATATAAGGATATAAGGAGATAAGAGATATAAGGAAATAAGGATATAAGGGATATAAAGATATAAGGATATAAGGAGATAAGAGATATAAAGATATAAGGAGATAAGGAAAGAAGGGATATAAAGATATAAGAATATAAGGAGATAAGGGATATAAAGATATAAGGAGATAAGGGATATAAAGATATAAGGATATAAGGAGATAAGGGATATAAAGACATAAGGATATAAGCAGATAAGCGATATAAAGATATAAGGATATAAGGAAATAAGTGATATAAGGATATAAGGAGATAAGAGATATAAGGAAATAAGGATATAAGGAGATAAGGGAATAGAGATACTTTTGTTAAACAACTTAAGATACTAGAAAACCAAAATATTAACAAACGAATTCGAAACGTATTCTTAAATAGCCTCATCAGATCTAGACTCTCAAATGGAAGCCATATAATGGTGTCTAACTCGTTCAGAAATGCTTAAACTATCAGCTGTATGCAACCGTTTTTTTTTTCAGATTAATGAATAAAATAGCTTCAAACGAATTAATACTATGAATCGTAAAGACGACTAGCTTTTAGCAGAATCTAGAGATTCGTGCTACAAAATCACAAGCCAAAAGCTTTTCCAGATAAAAAAAAAAACCTCACTTGAACACTTTTAAAACCAGCAACAACTAAAATAGGTAGCGTATGTAAGTAGAAGATAAAATTACGATATAATCAAAATATTAAAACATTTCACACAACCATAAACAAGAAGTTTGGAAGGAAACCTCCAAACAATACTAGAAAGAGAAATAACAGAAGAGTTGAAAAGTCTAATTTTCTGTAAAACTGTTTTGTTAAAAAAAAGATTTTGTAACTTTCAAGCTACAGTATCGTCAAAACTCCAGCGAATGAAAGCTGTATGTTTCTTGTATGGAAACGGCTAATTTCACCTTTACCATTTCAAATAAGTAATAATATTTTAATTCGTATGAGAAACTCGAAGAGTACTAGAATAATGAATAGTTTGAAGTTTGTTAATCCGGACGAGTCAGCGTTCTGTACTGAAAGGAAAGTCTCACTTAGAACAAATAATAATAAATACACAAAGCTTTTGTCTGGAAGCTCTTGCGTAACGATAAAGTGGCACAAAGAAACGCATCTGTTCGTGGAGAGATAACACATATGTCTGCTCACACAATTGAAATTTCACATGCATTATTACGAGGATAAAAACATAAACAAACGCCCGATTGGGTCTAAGTTGACTAAAATCAACATGGCGACAGTCTGCGGTTGCGAACAAAAATGAAACGACTTTTGTTTTTTCAAAAGACAAAAGAACTGAAATTCATTGGCTCTACTTTCTCTGATATTGCTGCCTTCATTTGATACTGATGATAGTCTGATGAAATTCTTACTGACTGAAAAAAGATGATATATTTAAAGATCGGCGCGAGGTCTTTGTTGGATCCTGGAGGAAATTTACGAATCCATATATCAGTTTTCAGAATTGGTAAGACATCTCCAGTAAGCATACTCTTCCCATCCCGTATTGTCAATTAAATACAAGCAGGAACACTTGCATAAATACACACACACACACACACATATATATATATATATATATATATATATATATATATATATATATATATATATATATATATATATGTATGAGTGCGCAGGTATGCAGAAAATAGAAAAGAACACGTTGGGTGCATAATCCGGAGTTCCTTAGTACTTTTGTTTTTATTTTTTTAGTTCCTAAAATTTCGCTTGAAGATGAAACGAGACTAAACACCTCAATTCAACTTAATTTTAATAATTATTTTGATGATTTCGGCTCTCGTTTTTGAAACATGAGAACTCTTATGTAGCGAAGGAATCATATTTTTAAACAAAAAAATATTATTATTATATATATATATATATATATTATGAAATGGACAATTAAGTCCGACAATTATAAAAAGAATGTATAAACATAAAAATGTCTTAATATATATATATATATATAGGTAATAATCCGTTGGTAAGTGAATCCTATTAATAAAAATATCAAACCTGATTAACGTAGAGAGTTAAATGTTTTATTCAAACAGAGCATGTAAATCACATCCAATAGGAATTAAGATTACTTCAAGCTTATGATCATTTCACCCACAAATTAAAAAATTATTTGAATTATTTGCGGGATTTTCAAACCCATCAGGTAAATAGGAAAAAATAAAATGAAACTGGCTTAAAAACGAATTTAAAAACCAGACAGAGGCAAAAAAGAATGAAAAACGGAAGAAAACAAAGAAAGAGTAAAAGAATTAGTGAAAGGACAAGATAGGAAGTGTAAGAGAAGGAGAAAGAAGAAGGTACAGAGAAGGTAGTAAAGTTTAGATATGGGGAATGGTAAGAGGAGATACATAATGTATACTGACCTGATTTATAGAGAATATTCACGCCGGTTGCAATCAGTTAAATAGAAGTCGAAAATTAGGGAAAAATATTTTTTATAAAAAATATTATTAATCCAATATTAAGGTATATAATAATATATTTATGTTAATGAAGAAAAAAGCAGAATTATTAATATATTAAAATATTAACAAAATATATTGATTTAATTATTTTCTATTTAAGAAATGCATCATTTAAATTCTTGATTTTAAATTAAATAAAAGGAAAATATATTAACATAGCAAAATATAATATGGTGACAATTTACCCATCGCATTCTGTGTGTGTGTGTATATATATATATATATATATATATATATATATATATATATATATGGTTATCGCAATGTTAGCGTAGTCATATATTACATAGGGATTACGTTTTTTTTAATATATTTGGCAATTAAAATAAACGGTACATATATATATATATATATATATCTGTGTGTGTGTGTGTGTGGCACCATGCATCCAGACAGAGAAAGAAAGGCAAAGGAAAGAAAAGAAGAAAGGAAGGGAAAAAGTAATGCGAGACGGATCATAGGTGATAAGCGAACACACACACACGGTTTAAGAGGTAATAAAAAAAGGGGTTATTTTGGATAAGTGGCAAATGGCGAAAGAGTGTCATTACAATGACAATGAGATTGAGTGGGTAGGGAAGTGTTATCTAAGGATATGAAAACAAACTATTGGTACGAGAAGGCATCTTATTATCAAAACACAGACCACCGGCCAAGGGAAAAATTCAAGCGAAAATGTTATTTCGATAAGTGACGACAAGAAACAGGCGACTAAAAAAGACTTTGGACAGATATGAAAATTAAAGGCCACCTGCGAGCAATCATTGACCGATTTTCCTACTTAGCCTGCGCGAATGGAATTGTGTTATCAAGAAATGTTCGCCAAAGAAAGTCCACTTGAAAACGTTAGATTTTGATAATTGACAAAACACAGGTGTAGCTACGGAGCCTTAGCTAGATATGGAAAATTAAAATCCCATACAAGCAGCCTCGCTAACTAAACTCTTTTCGAAAAAACAAACTTTTGCCCTGCGATAATAAAATTTTGTTATCAGACACATGAACCGAAGGAAAATGAATGGAATAAGAAATGTTTTATTTCTTCCTTGGAGACGTCAGACCGACTGAAAACTTGGAAAAATTCTTTTCTGAGGCCATGTCGGAAAACCAAACATCTGATGAATTAGCGATAAACTGCTTGACAAACGCCACGTGTTGAACAAAGAGTTGTCATATTATCCGTTCATGATAACGGCGATTTGAAAGGAAGAAAAAAAGGAAAGAGAAGAGATAATTAATTTTTTAGTTAAGCAAGGTATTTTTTTTCCGAAACAAAGCCGCGGGTTGTTCACGCCCGACTAAGACGTCATTGGTCAAGTGGTGATCACATGACGCACGAAGGAGGAGGAAAGATACCCGACCAAGACCTCATTGGCCGAGAGTGATCACGTGACGCACGAAGAAGGCTGTCGACGCCCCCATCCAGAGTATAAGTATGAGAAGCCGCTACGAAGAAGTGTGGAGGGCAGTTCACGCCCGTCAGAAGCATGGTGAGAAAGGGGAGTGAAAAAAGTTACCAAAAATGGAAAAGAGGAAAATCCTAACCAGAAATAAAAGAGGTGGATATGTATTTAGAATTATCGAGGAACTCCCCGACGCCAACAGACCCAACCCGGTTTTTGTCGGCATCAATAAAAGCCAGGCCCCAACAGGCAGAAATCAGTTCGAGCCCTGACGGCAGAGATGAGTGTCCAGTAGTTCGCGCCCTGGCTGTAGAGATGAGTGTCCAGTAGTTCAGGCCCTGACGGCAGAGATGAGTATCTAGTAGTTCGCGCCCTGGCGGCAGAGATGAGTGGCCAGAGAGTTCGAGCTCCAGTTTTCAAAGTTGAAGCTGCCTCAAGATAGCTGACTAAGATTCACGCAAAATTCAGGACTCCTCTTCAACCAAGAACAATTATTTTGAAGAGCGACTTAGGACCAGACCACCGAAATAAGTTTTTCGACTTTCGTCCAAAGACACACCGAAACACAAATTTCTTAGAGAGCAAACAACTTGAAGCGTTAAAAACTTGCCTAGCGAAAACGACGTGTCACAATCCACAGAACTGGTCGGGAGATAGATGCAGTCCTATGTATCGAACAACTAGACATAAAGTTTGTTACCTTTTCTTTTGATACTTTGAAATTTTTGAGTTTTCATTTTATTTTCTTTTATGCATATTTTTGTGTTATCACCCCCGTTGAACTCAATTTGCATTACGGCCTGAACCCCTGTTTGATCTCGTCTGTCTAAGATCAATTCACAACGTGGGTAGGCAGACTGGAGATCAGTGCAGTTACCTTGGTAACCAGGCGTTGGAAGCGAGTTAGGGAACGGCGAGGGAGGCTGATATCAAATCTAACCAGATTCCCCACCCGAATCACCAAAAGGTTAGAACGTCACATTTGGGTGCTGCGACCGATACCAAGCCAGTTGGTCGTCACAGGACGGGACAACACGACTGACGCGACAGGCGGACGTCACGTTTGGAGCAGCGACACCCGGACGGAGCAGCGAGGAGCGAACAGCTGGCGCCGCGGCGCAGACGTCACAATTGGTGTTATTTAGGGACGTCACAACTGGTTTCGTGACCGGGATAGGACCCTGGAACGGCCACGTCACAACTGGCGCCGTGGTAGATCAGGATAGAACGTCACAGTTGGCGCTGCGACCGGGGGACGACGTCACAGTGTGTGTGTGTGTGTGTGTGTGTGTAA